AGAACCCACTTTGAGTCCTGGTCGCCCGCCACAAAAAATGCGACACCTTCACACACACGTCGAAGCCCAATATACCGCAGCCTTGGGGCTGCAAACTTCTGACCGTAGATTGAGAAGATCAATGGCCAGAAATGAAGAATGAGCGTAAGTGGGACTTGGCCCCCGGAGTTATCCCGGCAGCATCAACCGGTTTAGCTTATGAAGTGTCATTCCAATACTCAGCAACCTTTTACCTTAATAAATTTACCTCCAGTAAACCTTTTTTCACTAAACTAAGTTATACCTTCATTTCTCCATATATATGACCTAACCTCTACTTCAATGCAACTTCACAATATAATTAATTATCTGTCTACCCACCTATCAACTAACCTGGCCTATACTACCAGCCTATATTGACTACCTGGTTTAGCAGCTAGTGGAGAGAAGCTCCTTATGGTTAGACACTCTCCTACCTGAACCACTGCGTCCCTAGCGGTGTGTGTGTGTGTGTGTGTGTGTGTGTACGTACGTTAAGCGCGAACACTACTCTTTAGTGTTGTAACGCACTCAGAAACGTGATCAACCCAGGGTATAGCAAACAAATCCTTAAATCAAATAGACTCATGGGATACAGTAGAAATTGTCTTGTTTCCACATACCATATGGACTCCAAACTTCGCTAATGCTTTCGAAAAGGTCAAATCAGAGCAATTTCCGTAAAGAAAACCCACGTGAAAAACAACCGAATTTGATAACTGCCTATCCACGAATTTGTTTACATCAGTGCATGTTCCTAATCGTTCCTGATTTGCATTCTGCATTTGTTTTTAAATAATCATGGGATCAGAAACGGAGCAATAACCGCAATACGTGCATCTCATGTCGATATCTCCACCGCCTTGATACTCTATACTCAACATATCCCAAATGTAAACTCCGCCGTTTCGTGAAAGCTGGCCAGTTATTGATTAACTGCCTATCACTATCATTATATTTTCGGCAATCCTTCAATGCTTTCTACTCACGAGCTTCTACGTGTAACTACTACCAACTTCCCCCTCATCAACTTCTCAGTCTATTTTAATCGTGAACCTCCCCGCTCCGCTCATATTTCTTCTCTCTTCGCCAAAAACGCTTTGTCCAGGTCGTCCTTCCGACGCAATTATCGAAGAAGTGCCTTGCACCCACAAAATGACATAGCATTCGCAGCAAAAAGAGATTAACAACATATACCATGACATATAATTACTAAACTATATATCCTCGTACGAAAAAAACATACAAGGAGTCAAGTGTTTGACATAAGCTGTCATCCCGTCATTACACCTTCAAAGCGGGTGGATAGGAAGTAATATCTGGATGCTTGGCTGGGGATCATGGCCACCTCCCTAAAATGCATTTTTCGTTGACCAGCCATAAGTCAACTCATCAGAGGGCATCAACGGCTTAGCACAAACATCCTTTATCTGGAGCAAATGACGAACACCAAGGTTAGCCATACATAAATCATCCATCATACATCCTGTGAGACCTAGGTCGAAAGCATAGACTTCACCTGTTATACACATCTAGATGTGTATAAGAGACAGCGTCCATGCTGAATGCCACGTACGGCTACGAAAACGGTCCTGGATATTGACGAAGTCGTTGACGTAAAACAACTCACTACCTCGGGTGAATCTATAGAGTCCCGTCGGATAACGTTTTCTCATATCGTTCGCCCAAAGGTAGGTTGAGCCAAAGAGGTTATTCATGTTTTTTCCTATCCTATTTAAAGTATTACGACATATGGACTCCAGTCCTCAATTGCCTTCCGCTTGGTTTCTTTTAGCCGGTGCCCTTCGGTTGGACCCATAAGCAAGTTGTTTCTCACCTTTTATTTTTATTTTATTTTTTTATTCTTTTTTTCTTTCCGGGAGGTCCGTCAGCCTCCTTTTTTTTTTGTTTTCTAGCTGTTGGCAAACTTGGTTTGGCGGGTAGTTTCAATAAGATTTATTTTTCTTACTCTCCGTGCTTATTTCTACCTCTTTTTTGGTCATCCCATTAATTTCATCAATCCTGTGTGTATGTGTGTGTGTGTGTGTGTGTGTGTGTGTGTGTATGTGTGTGTGCGTGTGTGTGTGTCCCACCCCGCTCCTTACTGGAGATGGCTGGACAGAAAGGGACGGGTATGACACCAGCCCTTTCTGGACCAGTCATCAACCAGTCACCTTCTGCCATGCCCCAATCAAGGCATGGAACAAATATTCAGACACACACCCACACCACAGACAATCCCAGTATTTGTCATCAAAATACGATATTTGCTGATTTCTTTCTAGTGGGGTCGTAAACTCACCATGAGCGCACTCTTTGTGTCCTCTGCACTGCATCTGAAATTCTGAAAATCCTGCGGATTGTCAAGGATCTTGACCGCCAACTCTATACATTTTACTTCATTGAAACCATTTTCCACCATGATCCTTATTATTCTTCTCAGATCTACTGCGAATGCTTTATGATCTGATGTAAGGAGCATGACTAGAGTCGTTTGCGCTACCAAAATGTTAATCGACTGTCTAATCGGTCTGCTGGAATTAAATTTAATGAACCTTACAGGTTTGAACGAGAGGCAGGCAGTCTTATCATGTCTGTTAGTGATAAATTCTCCAGTTCGTTCAGAAATAACTTTTACATCGAGATCTAAAAATTATGCTAACCTCCCAGTCAACAGCCCCTCCGGTTCCATAGTGAATTCCTTCGTTTGATTCTTGATGTCGATGATGTCCAGAGGGTAAATCCAGTAAGGGTTGTCCGATGTTCTCGGTTGTGCAAGGTGCAAGAATTTCAGTATGGAAAAAACAAAGCATATAGCTTCAGGGAGATTATAGCAATATTCTTGAACACAATCTATCACCCACCATACGGACGTGTCCACCCCATGAAAGGATTTAATCATATTCGTGTATTATCTGCAGTGAGCCATTGTGGGAATTTCAATTGCCTT